AGGACATAATTTTTCTATATAAAAAATACCATTTAAATCTGTTCAGTAATGTAAGTTTGTCTGTTTGTATTGTACAGTAACCTCTTAAATTATAGGATGCAGAGTTCTTAAGAAAAGAATGAGTACAATTGTGGACTTATATAAAAGGCATTCCTTCCATTCTGCCTTTGGATGTTTATTTATTTATTAAACTTTAATACACCTAGAAAGTGTAAATGGTGAGCTTAACACCATATGGCGTTATCTACCAGTCAACTGTAGACAGGAATAACAGAAAATATAACTGACGGTGTAACGTAATGGAAATATTAAACAATAATTAAAAAATAACATACTTATAATATTCATTACGTATTACGTACATTGTACACACACACATATATATACATATATATTGAATCTGGATAACGTAATTCCATGTAATTCATACATCTAAATAGCTCTATGATTATATATGAGGTATGATAAAGTAACTAACATCAAAATATCCTAGCTAGTTATTGTAGAATACAATATATACAATACCTACCATGTGAAGTAATACTGACATAAAAAATGAATTTCAGATATCTGTGAAGGCAGTCTGCAATGTTTGAACATTCATTTTGTTTGCATTCTTTATGTTCTATATATAAGCCATAAAAGGTAAATAAAATGTTACATTAATTTATTCTGTTAAGCGGTTTTTAATTAGTGTAAGTATTATTATTTCTAGTTAATACAACTTTTTGAATATATATTCTATTTTTCTTATAAGCATATTTTTAGTATATTTTTTATTAGTACCTAAACAATCTTGGTATGTCTTTAATAGAAGTGCATAAAAGAAATAAATTGCTATAATAAAAAGGTTTTTATATTAATCAATTACGTATCTATATTTGTTACTAATTGTCTACCTGTTAATATTTGTCTTGTTTTAAAATAACTAAGACTGTTCACTAAATATGTAAGCTGTATTTATCTTACATAACATGAAACTAAGAAAAAAATTACGGGTTATAATGTGACAAATTTCAACTTATTAAACTCTATTATGACAAATAAATAATACAATTGTTTTAACCAAAGTGAGACTTTGTAAAAAAATCATGTGCTTGGATACCTCTGTCGCATTCATGTTTCTGCCGTGAAGCAATTCTGTTTGCATAGCTATGTTTCTATTTGGAAGGTAGTATATAGCAGTAAAATTAGAAGGCACAAAGGCATAATACTTTATTCATCAGAAATGGCAACACATGAAGGAAATAACCTTCATGTGACACAATATACTCGATTATGTCAGTACTTTTTTATTGATGGCTGAAAATGGAATGGTAACCCCGCCCACGCTAACGGGATCCGCTGGTGGAGCACCAATGAGGTGTGATAGATGAAAATGTAAGCAGGCCAGTTAGCCCATCATGGTAAATTCATGAGGAATTAACCATGATAGTTTCCAGGGGGAACCGCGAGGATGTCGACCAGGTTGGGTATATTGCTAGCAATGGGAATCTCAGTCTCCATAACTAACAATCCCTTTCCCCCCTATGTCAGTACTAAGTTGTATAGAAAAATACACGAGTCACCAAGAGAGAGATAATTGAACAAATATAGATGATTACCAAAGTAATTAAAATGTCTCTAGAAAATATAATATCTTTCGTAACTATATCAGTAATCCACTATTAAGAAACTTCAGCAATAAACTTATTGCTGCAATAATACCGCAGATACTATTATAAATCTATGGCTCCAATATACATTTTGATTGTCACTCATATATTGTTACCCTCAGATGAATTACTACACCTATCCAATATCTTTGCTGTGACCCAAATTGTACTGTATTATCTATGCCCAAAGAGTCATCTGTCACATATATACAATACAATCAAATATTTCATAAATATACATATAAATATGACCGCATATTTGTTCGGTTGTCACCCCTCTATTTTATAAGAAATTGTATAAACTAAAAATGTAAACATCCCAATTACATAATCTTTTGATATATAAAGATTTATATCGTTATAAAAACGTTTTAACCTGACAAACTATATTTAATAAAAACGTCGTAAATAATTTTAACGTACCTACCTTACTACTACCTACCGAAAGATAACTCTTCCTTCAGGCAGAATGCCAAGTGTTGTATACACATCATATACAATAAGTAACAAAATTATTCACATTCATAAGTATATCATTAACGCACAACGGCCCAAATGGGAGGCTAAGTGCGGAAAACAGAGTCTTTCTTACATTACTTACATTACAAGTATATCATTATGCGTTTTACTTTGAGAAACATAAATGAGATAATACTAGATGAGGTAATCAGTGATATTTTACGTAAGAAATTATTTGTTTAAAGTCATATCATTATGGGCTTTAAACATAAATAGCCATAGAAACTATTCCGAGCCTTTCATATCTATACATTCCTCGTATTTAAGGCCATCTTTCCATCTAGTAGGGGGCGTCTATTGTTAGCCTATACTGTGATTTGTTTCCATACGTGATCACCATTCGAGAACACCAAAGGACATTTACTTCCCATCGGGTGTGAATTGTACGCCTATATACTGACCTATTGCTACTTTTACATACTGCTACTTGTTCAACAATGGGCAATTAACTGCTAAAATGCGATAATCAATATATATTTAGGTAAATGAAAATATAGATAAAAAATATATAAAAATTACCTATTAAAAAAGAAATTAGAAAAATTGTTCAAGTCTTTCTTAGTTATCTAAAATAATTTAAAAGCAGAAGAATATTTTTTTTAAAGAACCGATCAGCTATCTATGTCAATAAATCGTAGACTTAGGATAACGTACTACGTAGCAATAGATACGTACCAAAAGTTGTCAGGAATAGTAATGTGTCAGAGGTAAGCATAAAGAATAGTGCAAATGGCTAACATACATATCTTAGTTCATGCATTTGTCATCTTATCTCATGCAGACACGTAGTTCTAGAAATTCTTGACATCCAATATCTCTGGGTTGGTACCCAGAGATATTGGATTGGTATCTACTTCGTACCTACTTTGACTGTGTTATTAATAGATAACGCATTAGATTCAGACCTAGATACCACACATATTAGATTCGATCGTAAAAAGAGGACCGCAGGATCCATAACTATCTTTAATCTATATCTAAGTGTCATAAAAATTACTATATGAGTAGATCTTTGTTTGTTACTAATAGGTAAGGGGATTTTCACAAAATAGTTTAAATTATGTCGAATTAATAATTGTATTAAGGGAAGGTATTAACTTTTATTTTTCTAAACACATTCTACCGTACTTTGGGAGGGAAATTAATTTTATTTCATTAAATAACTAATTATTATATCAAGCCACAACATTTATTTATAGGTGAGGCCTATATAAACTACGCTCTGCTGCCAGAAAATGTTAAGAAAAGTGGCTGATTTAAATTATATGTTAGCACAAGTGGAAGCGAAAGTAATATGAGACCTAGGCTGGGCCCAGGTTCTAGGTCCCATAAAAGAAGTTTGTATGTCAAAATGGTACGGACTCACCTTGACTGCAGATTTAGCGTAAGCGGTACGCGCTCAGGATACACCAGGATTCAGGAAGCCACGCCACGAGAATGTCACAATGGCGCTGATCTATTTTAGTCTATTCGTGAAAACCACACTATATATGTTGGGTAAATAATCACTCGCGACACTTGGGAACGATAATAGGGAATGTCCAGAGGGTTCACGAGTTCTCCACACAGTAAATAGGCACACAACACCCACCCGATGCAGTGTTACGCGGTAGACGTTGGACTGGGGCTGACCATTTGTCTGTTTTTCTTATGTCATATAAATATCATAGAATATTACGCGATTGGAGGATATTATGATATTTATAGGGATGTGACTTTCTTAAACACTAAGTTAGGTATATGATCTACAGATGCAGGGTTTAACTTTCCTTTTTTATTTTTATTTTAACTGCCATTATTCTGTTATAAACCCTTCATTAAATACAGTATTAAACTTATTAAACGCGGAAAAAAAAGAAATATTATGTAAAAATTAATTAATATGCAAATAATATGCATGATTTGAGTACCTTATTTTATAACTTTAATTAAAATGTGACATAAGCAAAATAGATACACTCATATACTTATATATGTTGACTGAAGTAACTAGGCGACTAACACAAGAGGGTCAAGTGTCACCACAATAGCTAAGGGCGAGTCCACTGAGTAGCACTTAAAAATTCACAACGTGGCAATTCTGCAGATTCCTAACATTTAACTTTTTATAACATTGGAAAAGAAACATAAAATCAATAACTAAAAATCTAAAAATGTATTACATAACAACATCCGTGGTGTAGTGATAGATACATTACTTTGTGTAAATAATTACTAAAGTTCTATTCACGGCTGGATCAATTTAGAAAAGGATTTTTAAGTGGTTAGAATATGGGCATTCTGAGTATTTCTAGATAGTTATTTCTCATAAGAGAGAGAGAATAATTATTTTAAGTTTCAATGTCGTGGAGTTTTCCGATGTATGTCTAAATTATGTTATTTGTAGCTAAGGAACCCAATTGAGGATTATATTATTAATAATCTATAATAATTCATATAAACTTTCATTAGACTATTTATTTACAATACCAATAAGAGTAGGAATACAAGTTAAAATAAAATAAGAATTATATATGTATAAACCTAAATAACTTTTAATTATTTATAACTAATTAATAATATTTAAAAACGATTTATTTGAATATACCTATGTTACTTATACATACTCGATAATGTTAAAATTTTTATCGAATTTATTCGGTATAATAACTTCTGTGGCCTCTGTTTGATTTTTATTTTTATTTCAAACGATAAAATAGAAGGATAGTAATCTTTCCTTTGTTGTCTTTGAAAAGTTTGCTTCTTTGTTACTTTATTTTGATCAGGATTACGGAACACTTTTATGGGTTTTCTTTATTTATTTATTTTTGTTTTCTTTTCACTTAGGTTCAAGATGTATACAGAATTACGGCTGATGTTACAAGAAGAAGTCTCCTCCCTACCTCCTACATATAGCTCAAAAATCCTCCCATAAAACATTCCTTATTCATTCTTTGACTTAATTTAATTGAACAGCAGGTACATCTATATAAAAACATTCCACACTAACTATTGTCGTAAGCTTTCAACTTATGACAATTTTTTTTAAGAATTTCTTCAGATAGTCAAATTCTGAAGGGAACTGAGCATCTAGACATTGTAGTGGTAAGGTCAGTAACGCGCGTAAACCTCTTCGGAGGGCGCAAGGGGCCGGCGCGATGCGGTCTCACCAGGGATGTACGTAATATATCCTGCGGATGACGTAGTTTCCCTGACATACGGCACACAATCGCTGCCTCGGCCCCGGCAGCGGCCTACACTTGACGTTCTCATCGGACCACTGCCATCCGCGCCGACCAGCGCATTACCCCTGTCCCCGACCCCCGCCCCGCCCCGCGCTGCATCCGTCCCCAAAACGGCGCCCCCGGAGCCAGCGGAGCGCGCGCCGGCCTCGCCGACGCCGTCTATCGAGCGGCCGGCAAAGCTGCGCGAGCGCACCAAGGCGAAGCTGTTCAAAAAACTTGGTCGCCATGAGGACAATGAATTTGGAAAAATAGTTAGAACCCCAGCACCCGATGAATTCGAATTGCCCGCTCCCCTGCCTACACCGGCATTTTCGCGAAAAAATATTTTTGATCGCGACTTTGATGCATTATTCGAAGTCGCTAGTTCCCCACAGTTCACGGCAAAAATTCGCGTAACGACTCCGGAACCAGATCATAGATCAGATGTATCGGCGGCGCATTTTACCTCTCCAGAAAATTACTCACTTAGTTTACTCCCACCTCGGCCTTATTCTGAACCAGTGCCTAGTAATAACTCTCCCACCACCTCTACCCGCACCTCTACGAATTCGACAACAACGGGACATCGCTCATCTCTTGAAGGTTTTGAACAAGAGTGTGGATTTCTGATTGAAATTCATCAACTAACTCAACGAGTTCATTGCGCATGGTACATGCATCAAAATAATGCCACTTTGCTTTACTACTTTTGAAATGTATCACTTTCATTGAGTTTGCCTAACATTTTTAGTGTGGACTATGTAACATTAGACACCAATCTTCTCGATTTAGGCGAACAGACTCAAATCGAGAATAAACTGCCTCTATTTTATCAATTCTTTGACTATCTATGTCAAACGTAGAAAAGAAAGATAGACACAGTTATATTGTTAAATAACTGTATCTCATTTTTGCAGGGTCCAACTCCAAATCTAAGAAAGTCAGTTTTTTTCGAAAACTGAGTCGCTCTAGAGAAAGAGAGGCGTCTCCGCCTCGTAACCGCGACCGCATCATGCAGCAGCCGTCAATAGAGATGGCTCTTAGAGAATTAACACATCCAAACCATAACGAACAACTTAAAAACCAGCAACAAGTCACATTCAAGTTGGTTAAAACAGGTAAGGACTATTAATGTTTATGTTAAGAGGGTCGAGATTGTTGATCATTTATTTTTAAATTTAAGAACAGTAATAGTAGCTAGGTAGAGAAGACAAACAATTTTATTACTATACAGAATTGTATGAATATCATATTTTGTCATATTTTCATATTATCCGTGTGGTCCTGGTATAGAATAGGCCACCCCTTCCTATCCCGTGGATGTGTGTTCGTATTCAGTGGCGATGGATGGGTAGCAGCGTCCTTCTTAACCCATCTTCAAAGCCTCACTGCAGTTGCCAATACGCCTATCAAGCGTGGCCATTACTGGCAAAACCCCACCTAGGGGGAGTCTTATGTTCAGCAGTGGACCGTTAAAGGGTGATATGATGATAAGAATGACATATCGTCACCTTATTGACATCTAGTTATTTATAACTGAGGAATTTTGCAACAAAAATCAAACAACACTTGTATTATTGATATTTCAGTAAGTTTCTTATATGACATGACATGCATTAAGATAAGATTTTCGAAAATTCCCAATGGAATTATACATAATGTAGAAACATCAAGAGAAGATACGTGTGGGCGAAGTCGTAGGTAACACCTATTGGAAATAGACCTGATAATATACAAAGTTATAGACAGATATCTGTCTACTGTGTTTTACTAGAAAAATTTGTGAATTACAATATTAACTACGATGTGATGGTAGAAGATGTAAAAAAATTACCAAATACTTATTACAAAAGAACTCTTTTCTTATGTAAGTTCGCTAGTATATAGAAGTTCTTTAAATATTTAGAAACATACTCGTACAAATGATTACTAGTCAGTAACAAATAATATAATAATATATTTACCTTATTTCTTACTATTATAATAAAATTTGTAAGTAAGTAAACGATATCTGTCCATAAAAGATAAATTAATATGTGGGGCTTAAATAAGAATATATATATATATATATATATATATATAAGTTTCTAAAGGACTTAGTTGCTGTATATATATATATATATATCTACTGTATATTTCGTCATGATATACTATTTAGAAGTGGTATGTTTCATTGCTTTTCCTACTTCTGAAATCCATGCGTACAAAGTTGCGGGCAAAAAGCTAGTTCACAATATAAAAAGAAGCAACTTGATGTCGCGTCATATCTGTCTTGTCAGTATAATAACAAGAGCCATCTATATAAGTCTTACTACTGAAACACAAATCTTCTCGTCTTGGTGAAGGGTAATATATACAATTATAAGGGTAAATGACCGTCAATCCGTTATAAAGGCCTAGTGCGATTTCGTTCGTTATCTATATGACCAACTACATTGTTAGAACATTTTTGAAACTAGAGAAGTAGATTCTACTCAATAAAAAAGAGTTGATGCTTTTTTTTATTGAGTAAAAAAGAGCATCAACTCTTTTTTATTCATATAATAAAATACGATATACATCGTATTTTGATATTATTTATTCCTTTTTAATGTCAAAGATGTTCATGAGCCATCTGATTAAAAGCTGTAACCGTCGTTTATATACACGTACTGCTCCCACGTCACAGACTATATTGTAACATCTATGGTATCTTTTATGCGTTGCCATTCCTGAGCATAAACTTTAGTAAACCTCCGTAACTGGTAATTTCACTGCAATATCCCACCCTTCCAACCGAAACAGCGTGTAAAGCATAGCTGCTTAGCGGCAGAAATACTTTATAGATTATTTTCGTCTCCCTCAGATAAATTTTAAATGCGTGATGTTTTTATATGTAGACAATTACCGGAAGTTGCAAAAATAATTTAATACTGGTGTCTGAATCGCGTGACAAAACTAATTATTAACCTACTTATAATAATTGGCCAAGTAGTTATCTTCTATTTAATACAAAGCGTTTCAGAACAAATCTAGACCATTTCTCAGCTATTAACATAATACAGTTACAGTATAGTCAGTTGTCACGATTGCCTAATATTAATATTGATATTAACACGGCCTTAAACAAATTCAAAGCCACTTTGTATAAATTCTATAGTTTAATTTAATCAGCTTAATATAATAATAGCATGACATGTATCATTGCACATATGTATAGATTATAAGTGTACAAATCTTTCAAATTCAAAGTATTACTGTAGTCTAACTATTTATTCTATACCTAGTATTGTAGTTTTTATCTATTTTTATCCTAATAGTTATATATATATTATGAATACGCGAATAACGACCACCACGGTCGTTAATTGAGGCAGCATTTTATAACGTAACCTTTTTATCATATATTTTAAATAGATATAAATGTATGCTTTGTTGGTTGTCCTTAAATAAATAAATAAATTATTTTATTTCGAAACTTTGAACCGATTTTAATAAATTTCTATGAGACTAATTTTAAATACATCCTTTCAGATAAAAAAAATAATTTTCAAAATTGGTTTATAGCTAATGGAGTTATGAAGTAACAAACATAAACAAATGACAACTGAATTGAGGATCTCCCACTTTTTGAAGACAGTTAAAAAATTTTAAAATCGAATCAGATTGAGTAAAGATATCGCATAATATACACAAAATATAGACGAATTAAGAATCTCCACCTGTTATAAGTCGCATAAAAATATTAATATTCTGCTTACAGCAACAATGATTTAATGAATACATCAAATTTAACATGATAATATTTATAAAAGAGATGCTTAAATTATTAATGGTGTCGATTGTAAAGTTCACTAATTTTACTTATTTCTCAAACTAAAATTTCAAACTAATAATTAAGCAAAACCGTTATCACGGACCTTTCTGAATAACCTAAAAGTAGTTCTAACTTTAATAGATTATGAATCTAATTCATACTGGTTTTATATAATTATATTGGTGTAATATGAATCCGATAATTTAATTCGAATGAATGCTTCAGAATCGACCATTACTGCTCATCAATGCTATCGAAATTTCTTAATAAGTACATTTTGCTCTGTAAATTAATAAATACTATTGCTAAATTAGAAAAAAACTATGTTAAAAATATTTATTAGCACTGTTACTTTAAATTATGTAAAGATTCTAACGATACTCCGTACATCCAAATCTATCTATTTAGAAGTTATAATAAAATAAAGAAATTCACATACACACACGAACGTTGAAATCATTATACTCCTGTTTTGAACAGTCGAGTAAAAATAGTAACTAACATAATATGTAGATCTAATTGCATTACTAGAAATGTTACTAAAGAAGTATTTCTACCTTGTATAAATTTATTTCACCATTATAAACAGACATTTCTTTATTACTTGTAACACAAATTCAACTCGGTCGATTTACAAGCAAGTAATTGGATTTTCATAAATAAATAAATCTAATTAAGTATCTGTCCATACAAAAACTAGCTACAAGGTTTCCTCGGAGTTTACATATAAGTAATTATCGCTTAGCATGTTTACTTTCGACTTTAGTCTCATTTTAATTAACCTCGGGTTAGAGAACCATCGGAAATCCTTAACACCGTAACATTACATCGTAAGTTGTTTCTCAAACATAAGAACACAAAGGCATTTTAATTCCTCCTGGAAACTCAAAGTTTTATCATATTGGTGAAATTTACTAAGATCATCATCTGAATTTCATTTAACCCTTTCAGTGTGGTTCAGTTACATCCGAACATCTTTACAAACTTTCACATTTTAAATATCAATAGAATAGTGCTACAGCACTATAGAAAGTAACAAACTTGACTTCCTGAAATTTAGCGCGAATAATATTATGCTACTATCTAATATTTGATTTCGTAATAATTATTTTTGGAAACACATTTAAAACATTTTAATGAAATATTTGAATTATCTTGATTCTATCAAGATAATAATAATTTATTTAGGTTTTATTTATTAAAGTATATATTAATTATAAATTTGTTAATATATTCCTTTAATAAAATTTAAATAGCTGAACTGGTTTCAATTAAGTTCGATAGGGTCGTTCAGATGGGATACTGATATATATATAAAGGTACTACTTTTACTAATTTATTCAATTAAAGCTTTAGGTTACACCTGTTACTTTGTACACTTAAACAGCTTAAGGGATTTAAATAAAACTTGGTAAGCAGATTAAAACGTGGATTAATTAACACACTCATATATAGTACAATATAGTTTTAACTCTCGCTTCCAAAATCACAAAATAATAACCTCGCCTGCGCTAACGGAATATGCTAACAGAACACCAGTGAAGGGTGATAGATGACAATGAAAACAGGTCAGTTCATCATGACAAAGTCATCAGGAATTAATCACGACGGTTTCCAGGGGAGATCGCGTTGAGGATACCTGGTTGGGTATATAATCCCTACCCCCTGTATTTACCTACTATTGTATATACTAGCTTTTAACCGCGACCAAGTACACATTTGTTTTGGAGGTAGAAACACTAATGAAATACACTACTAATAGTTGACATATTAAGTAAAACACTCGAATTTATGTTAGACCATCAGGAATCCGAGCAATAAATAAAAATCTAAATATTATAGTCATAGCTTCTAATGCTCTTAACAAGACAATCATATGATTTTTTTTCTGAAATATGTCAATTGTACACATATGACAAATGTTATAATTTATATCAAAATACGTTGTATCATAAACCTGTACACCATTATCCTTTTTATTCATCAGTCACGTAAAAAACAAATTGGATTCAATGGAACTCTGTAATTAATGTATAATCTGCTACAGTCATTCTCTAAAATAAGCCTTACAGACCCATTTACTGGTCAAATCTCATTTTAGCAATGCAATTTAGCAACAAGCCGCAACGCGGCGGTATATCGCGGATTACGTTACCGCAAAGAGCCAAGCACTTTGTTCTATTACCGCTTTTTGGCATTTACTGCCATTTTACTTCCTATTTGAAAGGAGATAGTCCATTGCTGACAAACGATCTGTAGTAGGATATCTTGTACAAGTAATAGCTATAACCCATGGCGTGTGCGCATGCTTGCTGCCTTTCT